GATTTTTTTATTTATATAAACCGATTTTTCACTGTAGAGAGTTTTGAAGTTAACGACATGAAAATCGAAGGAATGTTTTATTAAAGCTGGTTGTTAATCTGGCTCAGATTTTGGTACGTCCCATTCCTCCCATTGGCCCTCTGGTCAAAGCTCCGCCTCCAGAGCTGACTGACAGCTGCTCCTCGTCTATGATTGGCTCTGCAACACCTCTACATGATGACTCGTGGTCATGAGCAGTAAGAGCACAGACACGATTGGTCGATTAGTGACAGGTACGCAGGCCAATAGATTGTCATGTTTATGACGAAGTTCACCGTCATCGGCTTCTTTTCATTTCTTTCAGGCGACTTTCTTTATTAATGTTTTCAGGATGAGAGGAGGATTTAAACCAAGATTAAAAGAAATAAATGAGAGACCCGACTTTTAATATGAGGCTCAGATGTTGATACTTAACATTAGAGTAAAATGTGGTTTTCTGCTTTATTTAGTGTCAGTTCTACAATTCTGACTCTTTATATTTAGTTTAGTAAGAAAAGTTTAAAACTAGTTTAGTCATGAACATAATTTCCAAACATGAAATCTGCATATATGCATTTATGATGCAAGCATCATGAGTTTGAAGTCAGAGCTGTGGTGGATTTAAACACATATAATAATAAGTGAATCTGCTTAAAAATGTTACAGTTGGTGAAAAGTTAGAGAGTCAAGACTGAGGAATTAAAGGTTTGTGTACAAAAGGGAAAGATGGAGCTCCTGGTCTCTTTGGGTCAGCGTGACCGTTCTTCTGATATGAATTCCCTCATATGAGGACAGGACGGGAGCTCAGGGCTCGGAGGGGAGCGGCTGATCAGCGACTGAGGCAGATCTGAATCGTTTAATTGGCCGGGACAGCTACTGACCTGGGACCGAGCCAGAGGCCAAAAGCTGTGGAGCAGCTCGGTGTTTGTGGCTAAAAGAGTCAGTGGATGGAGAGAGAGAGATCACAGAGAGGAGGAGGACGTGAGATGAAGAGATATGAGGGCAAAGGAAACACAGAAGATTAAGTTGGTGAAACTCCCCAGATATCTCACATCTTCTCATCAACAAAACCTGGAACATGTGACGCATGAGTGTCAGCAATCGGTGCCAGGAAGCAGAATCAAAGAGAGGGGCTTTCCAAGAAGCTTCTCAGAAAAAGCACTTATCCCTGAATGAGTCAGACGGAGAATCTGTTCCCTCGCAGCGTTTCAGAGCCAAACAGGTTTTATCAGCTGACGTAGTGTCAATACAACACTCTTCTTTACTTCTGACACAACGTGCAACATGAGGCTGCTGGAATCTGAATATAGAATCACTGTTGTTAACGTTTAATTTATTATTTACTCTGTTTGATATGAAACCTAGGAGCTGATTCCTCTTATATTTAATATGATGTTTCAATACAAAACCCTCTGGTAGTTTCTGTAGAAAACGTCTCCTCTGGTAGTTTCTATAGAAAACGTCTCCTCTGGTAGTTTGTATAGAAAACGCCTCCTCTGGTACTTTCTATAGAAAACGTCTCCTCTGGTAGTTTGTATAGAAAACGCCTCCTCTGGTAGTTTCTATAGAAAACTTCTCCTCTGGTAGTTTCTATAGAAAACTTCTCCTCTGGTAGTTTCTATAGAAAACGTCTCCTCTGGTAGTTTCTATAGAAAACGTCTCCTCTGGTAGTTTCTATAGAAGATGTCTCCTCTGGTAGTTTGTATAGAAACATCT